CCTTGTACTACGTGACTGCCTACATTGAACCGCAGTCCCAGGCGGACGGGGGACGTTCACCCAATCAGCTAGCAAGGAATCGACGCTCTGTCGAGAGGTTTTCTTTTTTAAGTGGCGTACGTGCTTTTGACATTATAAGAGTTCCTTGTAAAACTATTTCAGATGCAAACATAATTTGCGCTTTGATCACGATCCAGTTTAGCTTGTGGGTTAGCTATGATGCACCACGCTGTATGACGTTTGCGCAACCGCACTAAATAAAGCATGTCCACTAAATATCAGGCAGCATGGAATGGGCTCACTATCGGCCCAATTTGAATTTTAAAGGTGAGGGTGTGGGTTAAATTGTGTGTAGAGATAATCACGACATGATGACCAACTAATTAATTAAAACTGGTTAACTTTCAGTAATATAATTTCCCTTGGAATTCTCTAATGAACTCAAGATATTTAGCTTGGTAAAGCCAGCATGACTATTGCCCTCTATTTGTTAGACTTTTAAATGCCATACCCTGCTGCTATTTGTGTGTTAATTTAGCCTACATTTATAAGCGCCAGCGATAGGAGCTAAGAATGTACACACGCATCGCACTTTCAATTTCAAGTAGTATCATTTTGTGGTTCCAGAATCTTCACGATCATGCAGTCAATTAGAATCGTCTCTCGTCATAGTCAAACGGTACCGCCGACTTTAACCTCTGAGATTTAGCTGGGAGGAAGTCCGTCTTTCTATTTCGTTAGAGCTACAACAACAAACCCTGGGAATCCTGGGAGGTAGTGGTTCGGAACTTTCAAGGAGACCCTTCTGGCCAACTAGAAGACTTCTATTTCACCGTAGGCCAACCGTTGGACACACAGACCTGTGACCACTGCTACAACGGTCCGCTCACACCGGATATGGGCTACAGGTAGGTATTTCTGTCAGATTGTCCGTGTGGCTCATCGAATGCAACTTGAAATTTATGCTGATCTGTAATATAATTTATTGTGATCATGCTATAGCGGATCATATGTTAGCCACTGAGCGGCTACTGGCGAGGTTCAGGAGTGAGTCTCCGGGCAAAATGAGACGAGTATCTTCCCTAAGCGATCGCTGAAGCGAATTTCTTCCCTTGTATTGCTTCCGGTCAATACTGATAAAAGCAACAAGTTCGTGGCGCATTAAGTTAGAACGTCGGACTTATGATCAACGAGTCACGGGGTGGAGCCTCGGTTAGGTATGATATTCTGATGATAGTAGTGCGCCACAAATGGCCATTCCAGTCTCCCTGTCCTTTTTGGTAGTGTATTTTGCCTGCATGTGGCCTGCCCAGCAATTAATAAATAAAGACCATGCTTAGGCTTTAGATCGTTTCCTCGGTAAATAATGAAAAGGATAAAAGAAAAAGTACTCTTGGTTATTTAGCGTATGTGGCGCCGATTTAAACTATTACGAAAATGGCCTACTAAGGAGTGCTAAGTGCAACTGATCGTCATTTTCATGTATGTTCGACTTTGCCGTGATGCTTTGATTAGTAACGTTGACGAAAATGGTTATTACTGTGACATACTTTTTAGCAGTCGTAGTCAACATAATTCACATAGGGAGTGCATCCTGGTTTATCTTCATGGTCAGGGTTTCACTTCAACATCTGGCCGTAGTGTTTATTCACTTTGAAAATTGTTTGTTAAATAGATTTTGTCAAAATAGCCCAATTATTACAGTCACCAAATAGTCCTGTTGAACTTATCGTGTTTTGACTAATGAAACTACCTATGAACTTAGGTATATTTTTGACTTCATAGATGTTTTGCGATTGAAAGACACACGTAGATCGTGAAAATCTTGCATCTTATCCGAGTGTTTATTAGTAATAATCATGGTGAACAGAACGTGATGCATATGCACGAATAATAGTAGGGCTCCTTCGGAAACACCAAGCTGTACTTGTGCACTTGCTAGCTGGTGACATCATTCGTCCTCAGATAAAATTAATGGAAGTGAGGAAGTTAGTAAGTTACACTAGACTGTTTAGGTGACAGGACAGCTAGACCACTGGCAGGTGAGGGGGTGAGTCACGGTTTGTTTGTTGGCGGCGTGGGGGCGTAAGAACTATAGCGCACTGTGTACGGAGATGGAGGGCGA